TATTCAAATTATATTTACTACTCTCCGAAGGTCAACACGAAACATAGATTACCTATAATTTGAATTTACATTCATATCAAACGCTCATAATATATCATTTCTTATTTTATCCTTATCAGTAACATTGGCATTGATAATGCTTAATACATCCGATATTTTCATTATCTCCGCGCCTGCACTTCATATGATAGTCTTTAATCCAGATAAATACGTAGAATAACCCAGTAAACCTAAAAGACACATTTTTATTGTCTGTATCGTTTCACGTTTACCCGATAATATTTAACGCTACCTGTACCAAAGAATAAAGGAAGGGTGGGTTAGGGAAGACGTTCTATACGTTTCCTAGATATCTAGGAACCACAAATAGTTGTAATATAATTCTAAACATACAACACTAGCTTTGTACCCCTTATGATTTTCTGTCCCCGTACCCGTCTGGTAGATTATTTAAAAACATTAGACACATATTTCTTATTTTCTTACAGAAACGAATACTTCCGACGATATATTGATTTGAAATGTCGCGTGACGTCACTTCTATGTACATTTTATACGTAGAAATGACGTTTTAGACCCCACTCCTAAACATTGATTCGTTTTATCTAAGTATTGTTTTATTATACGACAAAATAAAAAAATACATGTGTAATATTTTTTCATTACCTAACTGACGGACTAATTAGATTTTTAATTTTGATACCCCGTCATCATCCCTATTGAAGCATATTTTCGTACTTGAAATTAACATGTGTAAGAATACTTTAAGTGAAAACAGTAAGCTGAGGACCTAAGGGCAATTACCCCACTGGTAGTCGAATTAAAATAGGTACACATGTCTACCTAATTGGAATACTTCTAGAAAGTACTTATACCGTTACAATCAGTTATCAGATGTTGAGAACATTATCTACCGTATCTAAAACAATCGATGCGTTATCAATCAGATGGTCATTCAGAATTATCTTGTTGGACATTTGATTATAATATTGCATACAAATCATGCAAGGTCTAATTGTTTTTTGATGGATTCGTTTTTAAATGTAAATTGATTCCAGATTAAATGATGCAAAGAAATTAATTATTCATACTCAATCACTCGAATTTCGTATGTCTGTATAGACACAATGTGGGGAAATACCGCACCGTAATAATACCTACCATCTATTGTAACATACCTATGTTGAAAAAATAAACAATATTTGTATTTATATTTATTTTCTCTCTTATTTGGTTATTTATGCATTCTCTTAAGCATTGCTGCTTAGTTAATCATATGCAAGTCCAGCCTATACATCTAGCCAATTCTAAAATAGTCTTTCATCGACTGTTATAGGAGACCTGGTTAGGTAGAAAACTAATTAATCATCTGTCAGTGTTTCAGTGAAGTTACGTGCAATTAGATGTAGGTATAAGCAATTTGATAAATACAATTTTGTGGAAAAATTTACGTCAATAAAAATAAATCGTTTCATAAACTTCAATCTCACAAAAATAGAACAAAAACAATTCCAACTAAATAATTGCATCATTTCAGACATCATCAGTGTGTAAACTTCTCTATAAAAAACAATTATATCATTAATTTATTGTAAAATATGAATAAGAAGTGCTACAGACTAAAAAGACAAAAATAGTGATGTGAGTGCATCGATAAGTTCGTTATCGAGTGATTTTATCGATAAGTGTGGTGTAATCGATAACTTTGAGGATGATGTTGTACATGACCAAGGCGGAGGAGGTGTCGGTGAAGAGGCCACCAAGGAGGAGGCATATTAGTGCCAATATTAAGGTTAATATGTAACTAATTACGTATTATTTATGTATTATGTATAATGGAAATAGGCGCACGGCTCACCTCCTTGTCTAAAGGACCCAAACCTTGCCGGGGGAACCTCTGCCTACCTCATCAGGCGGGGATTAAAAAACATGACGATATCTTTACCTATTTTGAGAAAAAAAGATATTTGTGGCTTATTTTTCAAATAGCAGATAATTGTTATCTATACATATAATAAAATTGTAGAAAAGTGCTGTCTGTACATTGAAAATAAAAATAAAAAAAATAGCAGGGGCTATTGTTATGTCGATGTCGAACCCAAAAATGTAACTAACTTTTTTTTTGTCTGTTTGTCTGTTTGTCTGTTCACGCTAATCTCAGAAACGGCTTATCCGAGTTGGATGCGGTTTTCACGAATATATTGTGGTATGCTTCAGTTATGCTTTAGTGTTTGTTTCATGTCAATCGGTTCATAAATAAAAAAGTTACGTCAAATTAAAGAATCACGTCGAACACTATCTATCTATCTATACATATAATAAAATTGTAGAAAAGTGCTGTCTGTACATTGAAAATAAAAATAAAAAAAATAGCAGGGGCTATTATCTAAAATAAAAATAAGTATATATTTAAAAAAAACGCTGCTCATAGTCACTATTCTACGCGAACGAAGTCGCGGGCACAGCTAGTTTATAGAATAAAATCTTAGTATGAAAGAATTATCAAATATTAAAAGTGATTCCTCATCTGGCGTTGGAAAAAACGGTCATTATTTTTGTGTTGCTATTTTATTCTTATGAAAAAATCTATTATTTTAATTGTAACTAGCGATCCGCCCCGGTTGCGCACAGGTGCAATATGCAAATAAACCTTCCTTAAGAATCACTACTAGGTATATGTACCAAAAATATCCGCATCAAAATCCAATGCGTAGTTTTAAAGATCTAAGCATACTTATGGACAGACAGACGGATTGCGACTTTGTTTTATACTATGTAGTATTATGCGCATGTGTTTTTAATATGCCAATGCAAAAAATACCTTTAAACGTTCATACTATCAGACGAAATTAATCTTTCGATAACGAAAATGCATAGATATGAATACATTAGTGTTTTATAAAAATGTGTGTATGCTAATGCCATTGCATCCGGCTCGTGATTTATGTCAATAAGATTATCTAAACTGTTATCTATATTCATGCAATTATGTACTTTTTAATGTTAATCACGATTTACGTCACGCCTTTTAACACTTTTTGGGATATATCTTTTTTATGGCATGAGCCCATAAACGAGCAGACGGTACACCTGATGGTAAGCAATCGGCGTCGCTCATGGACACATGGACACAAGTGCGTTAACGGCCTTTTGGGAATTAGGAGTTTGAGGATCGTTGCGGATTCAGGAATTGGGGAGATTTGTGAAGGGGAGGGTAATTGGGCCTCCGGTAACCTCACTCACACGACGAAACACACGACTGGAGTGATACCACAGCCTCACAGAAAACCGATGTGAAACAACGCTTGTGTTGTATTTCGTCGTGTGAGTGAGGTTACCGGAGACCCAATTACTGCCCCTTCTTACCCAATCTCTGCAATCCCTGAGACTGGTAACGTACTTGTAACGCCTCTGGTGTTCCAGGAGTCCAAGGACGAGGCCAATTTCTTACCATCAAGTGATCCGTCAGCTTGTTTACAGGCTTATACCATAAAAAATAAAAATTAAAACCAACTCATACTGAGCCTTCAATTATATAAAATATGGCCTTGAACACATTGATTACCAAATCCAGATGCATAAAATTTTACATAAGTACAATGAAAGTTTATATTTCTTTGATAACATATCGGATTTAAATATTTATCTGACGTTTCCTGATAGCGATAGTATAATCGAAGGACGAGATAGTTTAACAACTGGCCTTTAAAGTACTGAATTGTTTTTGCAACTAGTGTTCAGCTTCGGCAATTAATAACGATAGGTAGTCTAGGCATATAACATAACACCCAACAATAAGGAATGATAGAAGGTTGATAAGACCTACATATTAAGTCAAATCAATATAAAAAAGTCTATAACCTCAAAAATGGAAACGTTTACCTACGGTAAACGGCAAGTATCGATGGAAGTATGGAACATACAGAAGTTTCGATGTATTATATTATCAGAGTGCCAAGCACGAATAACTATCACATTCATAACGTAATAGTATCGAGTGCGTTCGGCGCTCTGATTGGCCGGCTCAAGTGAACCAGCCAATCAGAACGCTTAACTCGCTCGATACTGTTACGATACGAATGCGATAGTTATTCGTGCTTGGCCCTCAGAAGTCAGCGTCGTTTCAAGTACGCTACAAACTATCAACCAGTTCTTCAAAAATCTCTCTATTTCAAATGCCGTCAATACACTGGTAACTCTTCTAGAATTGCGAGTGCCAATGGGTGCCACAGATTGGCTACAATCAGGCAATCAATCAATCCATCTGCTTGTTTGCCGCCTTGTCCCGTATCCCATATAAAATAATAAGAAGAGGCCAGAAATAGACTTAAATGGCGGTTTAGCCATCTCTACACGTGACGGTACAAGTGCACGCGATGGGCGTTCACTGTTAACATCTGATAGCAAAATCTTGTCCGATAATCGCCAATATTCAACTCTAACTGATAAATGTCGTACGTCATGAGATACAGCATCCAACCACTCAGTAGCAACTGTCTCTTCAACTGAGAGCTCGTCTTTAACTTAATGGTAATCTAATATTTAGTTTTTTTAAGTGACGTAATTGTTTGTGCTTCGGTGGTTGTTCTTGCAAGGATATTGAACATCGTCTGAAAGTTACAGTACTTAATTTGTATTTCGAGACAAGAGTCAGTGGACATGAAAACTCCACCATATTTTTGATTGTGAAAAGTGCTCTTTTTTTCTTATTTGTGTTAGTGCAGCGAAATTCATCATCCTTAAGTACAGTATTTTTGGTGTATACGATTCTCGTCTACGATTTGTCAAAAGTTTTCTTAGAGTCTCGAACTTACCTATTAAGTTATCAGCAAAAATATTTCAGCCAATCAAAACCCCAAGAACTGTCTGATTGTTTAGATATTTCTCAAAAATTTAACCGTTCTTCTGTCCAATCAGTCAAGTGAAACGTCCAACCTTATCTACCATTCTAAAGTATCCGATACCTCGTATACTGACTGTTTCTTCATCATTGTCCACAGCGGCACCATGCAGGTATATCGCAGTCCTCGTGCAGTGATGGTTCCCTGCTCAGCGTCGGATCCTCAGAGATGGATGAGGACAGCAGCAGTGGCCACCATCACTCACACGACCACTCCAAGAGTGACCAGTTCGATTTCTATAGTAAGTATCCTTGCTGATGGAAGTTTTAGAAGACTTGTGATGAAGTACTAAGATACCAGATGAAAATGGTTATTTGTTAAAATCTTGCAAGATTTTCGAAACGTTGCTGCCTTGTGATTAGTTGATTATTTGAAGCAGGCCAATCAGAACGCCAAATGTGTTTAACTTGTAGATTGCGTTAACGTCAAACGAATTCGTACTAATACCTCTGGTAGTATATCCACTTTAATCAACTTATACATTTTCGAACTAGACTTACTCATATTTCGTAAGTTACGCATTTGTTTATTGCCATAATATCTATTGATGGTTAGAATTGTGAATCATCATCATACATCCTGACATTGACTATTAATTGTAGCAAAAATGGCTTGCTATCCTTTTATAGTGCAGAGATATACTTGGAAGCGGAAAGGCCCAATAATGTTGTAATCGATTTGAGATCAAACGATGACGTAAATATTTTGCTACTTACCTTTTATTTGGATACTATACTTAATCACCGCTCCATCTCTCACTGTAACACATAGTAATCAAGAACAAACAGATTTACTTGATTTGATTTCATTGACTTACTGTAGGTACAAAAAGTTAAAATCTATGTCTAGTGATTTCAAACAAATACTTACCCATCTATCAAACTGTTACAGACACATCAGAGCCGCCCACAGGTGTGGCGCCACTGTCGCATTCGGCCGCGAAGCACAAGATGGCAGTGCGACCACGCCGCACACACGGCGCTCCCCACCGCAAGAAAACGAACCCAGTTAGTAGTATTGAACTTTAAAGTAGGTGTCTTCCCATCTCGCTTACTGTCGCGCTTCGCTTGTTAAGCTGTCTTGTGTTTAAACCGACGGTAGGTGGCGCTACTAACGTTTTAGAAACATGAAAATTAAGATCTACCGGTATTCTGGTATGTGTGTTAGACAGCCTTTACTCCTAAATATTTGTGTTACTCGGAATATCCGAAATATTTGTGCACAAAAATCAGTCTTCAGTCTCATCGAGTCAAAAATGATCACGCATTAACTTGTTTCTTTAAAGGTTTTAAGTACATCTGCTATCCTACATACATTAGGGCGCTGCAATAATTGTCCGCATTCTGCACCATTCTCCTTTAAATGCGGTATCTAACTGCAGTTCATCAAGCTTTCTGCTTAGTGGGTTCTTTGGTTTTCTGTCAGGAAGTCATCAAACCTCACTACGTCTATGTGTCCCTCTTCAAAATGACCAAATATTCACTGTATCGATTATCAAATTCTAGATTGCCGCATCAGCCTTGCCGATAACGCCCGAACTGAACGAAGAAATGATACGAAGCACTACTCCTGAAGTCAGTCACAAACATTCAGAAGTGGTTACTGGTAAGTAGCGACAATACACCTAGTTTAAATGGAATAAAGCTTGAAATCCTGTAAACATGTGTTTTATTATGGAATCCTCTCGTTTCAGAATCATTCTCTTCATCGACCACTACGAAGCATCATGTAATCGTGAAAGAACAGCATCAACAAGTGAACAGGGAACTCCAAAGAGTTCTGGAGACCCCGAATGACACTAAATTAAAATCCTCGTCCTTACCTCCCGGGTTGGCACTCGGTCATCTCGTCGGCCAGTCCCCTACAAAGCTCAGTATAGCGGAATCCAATACTCCTCGGTCTTCTATAAAGAGGAGCCAGTCAAGCTCGCAAGGGCAAGCCCTTAGAGATGTCTCAAGAACCCACGAGGAGACCATTCAAACTTATCATTCGGAAGAAAGAATGACAAAGTATCGCATGGAGAAGAAAGCCGATGAATCTTGCCATGAGAAGAAATCTAAGTCAGACAAAAAGTCAGAGAACGAGGCTATAAAGTCTTCAAAGAAGGAGGAGTCATTCTTCAGCAGGTTACTGCTGAGGAAGAGTGGGAAGAAGTCAAAGAAGGATCAAACAGATGGAGATGGACAGCAAGAGATCAAAAAGTGTAAAACATCAGCTCAGTATAAACCTGTTGACACGGAAAGAAGTTTCCATGACGGACAAGGGTACAAGCCTGTACCTGCTGAAAGAACCCACAAGTCTGCCGGACAGAAAGCCTTTGCCAACCAAATGCATAAGAGGTTGGACAACAAGGGCGCCTACGTGCAAGATAGTGCATACAAAGATGTATACAGTGCTGCGAAGGTCCCCGGCGTTGAATACAATATAACTGATCTCAAAATAGCTGAAGAAACTGATAAAATGTTGAACCAAGAAATAAGGAATCGCTACAGCAGACGTGAAGAGTTCTGTGAAAAAATTGAAAAAACTAAACGGACGTCTTCTAAAGAAACCATTGAAGATAAGAGGGAGTCGTTCAATTTGAACCTTGACAAGGCCAAGCGACCAACTTCAGTCCAAAGGCTGGTCGATCCATTCTCCTCCAAAGCATTTATTAGTAATGAGCTATTGAATAGAGCCCAAGAAGAGTCTCCAGCGATCTCAGATGATGAGCCGCCGATCAGAGCGATGCGCATCAAAACTGTTCATAACGATTATAACATGTTCACTAGTGGAAGCATGCCTAAGAACATTCCTTACTTCAACCCAAGCATGCTGGTGTCGACGTCGCCCCCCAAAACAATTAGGCATCAGAGTTCCGAGAACATTAAACACAGGTCGTCTGAGCACGTTTCCGATTTTACTGAGAAATTAATCGAATGCAAACGTGAATCAGCACGCCATGCTTCTAAAACTGAGGAGTCTTACGTCACCTCTGCGATGAGGTCTCTGGGAGACGAGTTTGTTGAGACCCGCAGCAGCATCGGGAAGTCACACAGTTTTCGCTATGCCTCAGAGTCGACGTCAATCAGCTCCCAAGAGAACCAGATGCCTAGTCTGCCGGCCATCGTCGGTATTTCTGAACCGTTGCTAGAAAGCTGGGAAGTCAACTATAGGAGGAACTTGAGCGAACGAAACGATTTCTCCAAGAGGATTTCAGCCAGGAACTACAGTATAATGCAAGGCAATGCCGAGGCTAACTACGACAGCTTGCCGAGTACTGACAGCAGTTACTTGGACAGCCTCAAAACTGATACTAACGAAGACCGGAAGCTCTTCACCAATAGTATCCACATTACAATAGACAGCGCACATAAGCGCGATAGCGACATCTCTCAGATAGAGGCTAAAATTGATGATATTATTAGTTCGCCTAAGCCCATTATTGCCCCAATACTCAAGTCTAGTTCTTTAGATAGCGTTAAGAGTAGCCCAGAGAAGCCAATTGAGGATAGGCGGAAAACGATATCCGTCGAGAGCGCTCTCAGTGCCAAACACAATGTGCAAAAAGAATTGAAAGCTGAAACGGAGAGTTTCATATCAGTAACACATATTAATAAAGAACAAACCCCAGTCAAAACAGTGGAAGCACCAAAAAGTAATAAGAGTGATGAGAAACTACAGAAAACTGGTACAAAACCTGGAGTGCCAGAGTTCCTTAACATACAGTTGAACAAAGTCGATGCTAAACCTGCAACAAATATTGTTTTGACAGCTAATGTTACACCAAAGAAAATTGATAGTCCACAAGCAGAAAAAGAGCAAGACATTGAATGTTTCCAGATTACTGAAACCAAGGCACAGAACGTACCCGTGAGGAAAGAATCTATCAAGAGCAACAAATTCGTTGACAATATTATTGAGAATACTCAGAATGATGACAAGAGCTCCCCACTAAGTGGAAGGAAATCTGTCATACCTGTAATGCCACAGAGCCCTACTACGCCCAAAGCATTCTTCAAAAGAAAAGCAATGAGCGTAGAACTCCAGGATAGACCAGAAAAACCGCGAACAAACTCCATGAGCACTGACGGCAGCACGGAGAGAATTTACGACAACATATCCATCGATCAGAAGTCCCATTCTAGTTTTGGAAGCAAGAGTTCTATTCAGAGCACGGACAGCAATGACATCAAGACTCCAGACAGGCAAGACGATGCCGTAGTTTATCGCAAGAAGCCTGGTATACTGTCCAAAGAACTTCGAAGCGAAAGGAAGAACGATGATGAACCAGAACTAATGAAAGTGTTCGCACGAAGATCTCTGAAGCTGAAGGATTCTGAAGCTGACAGCATTGCGCAAGAAATAGCCGCGAACCACAATAAAGAAGATGCTGAGACTCAACCTACAAGAAGTAAAATACTAAAGAATGAATTTAACGCTTCTATTAAATCAAGGGACAGTGACAAAGAGAATGAAGATGTTATAAAAGAAGAAGAAAAGAGATTAGTGGACATTGCTGCCCGTGTGAGTCAGTTTGGAGTACCGCACTACCAGAGAAGTGTGAGCATAAACAGTGTGTCTAACCCTAAAAGGGACAGTGCTCCAGTGTACAGAAGCGAAGTAAATAAATATAAGAAGGAAGTATCAGACTCTACTCCAGAAAAGAGATTAAGAAATAGAACGTTCCCCGACCCGTCAAACGACAGAGAAGATATTAAAAATATAGCAAAAAGCGAAGCTATGGCTTATAAAGCCGACACCCTTACTAAAAGGCCGTGGCAGAAGAATGATGATAAATTCAGATTGTCGGTCGAAAAGGACAGGAAAGAAAGTGCTGTGATAGACAAGGATGGAGATTTAGAAAAGGAGGAAAGTGCGAAAGAGAAGGAGCCTTCGGGCGAAGCTGATGCGTCTCCTCAGTTCAAAGGGATCTTGCAGATGAGGGCGGAGTGGGAGAGGCGAGCGAAACAGGGCATGACCAAATAATTCTGGTGCTAGGTACAAGGTAAAACTTACTTTATGTTCATTGTGTTTAGTCAAAGAATTGAATTTAAGTCATTTATCAAACAAAAGTATAAATTTTGCAATTAATTGTTGAGAATTAAAAACTTGACTTTGTTTTTTTATTTTATATTAATACTTTTTACAAATCTCTATTTGAATAACTATTACTTTGATATCCTGTAAACATTATCCCCTGGTTTTGAAGATAGTTCTTGTTTTAGTAACTCACAAATTATGTACAAATTGATCATTATTTCATTTTGAACCATGTCGTAATTGTTCATTAAATGTTCCAGGACGTTGGGGAGTTGCTGTAAGAAAACGTTACACATAGTATATTATAATAATTATAATAAAAAAATAAATAATGAATTAGTTGTAATTAGTTTAGAACATTCTAATCGGCGAATATTGAATGTTAATGAGATGTATTAATTAATAGTCTATCAGATGTTAAGGCGATGTATTTTTGAGCGTTATTATTATAATAATATAGCAAATAGTTTCTATTTTATTAAAACAAACACTATTAATGTATGAACCGGTCACTATTCATGTATTGAACGACGGAATACAAATTTTATTCATATAGTTTTGGTGTGGTTTTATTTACCCTCTTTATAGTGAAAAGTCTAATGGGGTGTGCTTAAGTTTAAGTATTCACATTTACCTTATAAGTATGGATAAACATCGTTGGAGCTCAAATTAGAAATAGGTACTTCAGGTGTTCAAATAGGACTACATCCTTAATCTTATACTATTATATAAAGCGGAAGAGTTTGTTTGTTTATTTGAACGCGCTAATCTCCGTAACTACAAGTCTGATTTGAATAATTATTTTTGTGTCGGATAGCGCATTTATCGAGGATGGCTATAGGCTATAAAACATCACGCTACGACCAATAGGAACTGAGCAGAGCGTGTGAAACCGCGCGGATGTAGCTAGTTTTATAATAAGAAATAGATCAGCATCCAAACAAAGATGACAAGTGGAAAACTCTAACTTATCGTTTGTGTTTGTGAACACTTAAATTATTTTCATAATGATTACAGTCGAACTGTTTTTTTTATGAAATAGGAGGCAAACGAGCAGACGGATCACCTGATGGTAAGCTAACAGCGAGGCCCATGGACACCCGCAACACCAGAAGAGTCACAGTGTGTTGCTGGCCTCTTAAAAAGGAATACGTAGTTTGGTAGTTAATTATGATACAATTATTTAGTCTTTTCTTACAAAATTAAATACTTTCAACGTTATATTGATGACGTGACGCGAGGTGTGACGTAACGACCTCCTATTCCTAAACTTAAATACGTTTTGTACCTATTGTTTTCTTGTATGACAACATAAAAAATATGTGTCTAATGTTTTTTCATTACTTAACTGACGGACTAATTAGAATTTTAATTTTCTTACCCTGTCAATTACCTATTACTAACAGAAACTCAGTCTGCACTAAAATACATTTTAGGCTTCACAGACTGATCTTACACAACATAGATAGCTACATATTAAGTTTCTACCCGAGGATCGATCTCACGACCCTGAGCACAGCTGGCCGTTGCAAATGTTACCGCGAGAACATATAGGTCATCAAAACTTGGAAACAGTTCAGTTTTGTTCAAGGCCGGGTCAAAACAATCTTATAATTTTTGAACATCTCTTGTTTTGATATTTAAGAACCCTCTATCTATTTATCATTATTAGTATTATGTTAAAATTACATTGACTGCGTCGTTGGCCGAGTTGTCGCAAGTGCGACTGCCGGGCAAGGGGTCTCGGGTTCGATTCCCGGGTCTGGCAAAGTATTACTGTGTTTTAAAAAAAATCTCAGTAGTAGCACGGAGTCTGGAATTGTGCCCGGTATATGGCAATAGGCTCACCCCCTATTACATGCGACTCATAAAATAAATAGTGAAAAGTGGGTGTTACATTGTACAGTGGCATAATGTGCACCTCTGCCTACCCTTTCGGGTATAAAAGGCGTGATGTTATGTTATGTTATGTTTATTTATTTTTTATTTATTTATTAAGAGTTACCAACATTTGATTACACAACTACAGTAAGCATAATACAAGCAAGCAAAGAGGAATGAGCCTATGTGTAACAAACAATTACAGGTAACCACAACATTTACTGGTGCAAATATGTGTATATAAAAAAAGTTGTTAATTACTATCCTTAAATCTAGTTCTAACAGAAAATATCAAACCATATACATAATCCACTGTCTGTGTAGATTGGATAATATGCATTTATGCACGCTGGAACGGAACCGACCAACAATTCCGGTTCAACAATCAATGAATGTCGTGTCTAGTCTGGTGCACGCGTCACTTGATGCACAACCCTCCTCTAAACGCCCCTGTCCTCTGCAGTCTTCATGGCTTGTGGAACTGTCAGGCCGGTGAGGTTTTTTACAGCATCTAGCCACACCGGGTACGTGAGCGACCACGAGGTCTTTTCCCGTTAACCTGACGAACAACCACAAGCTTCTCTCGGTAGGTGGGGACTCTCAGTAAAACAATAATCATGAAAATATGAAAATTATCACTTTGTGCCTATAAATAAATTCCATGGGGGATGACACTACAGCGCCACTGTAGCTTGTTGTTTAAAGCTCTCAATATCTATTCACAACAATTCACGACAACCTTGTAAGGAAAAAAGTTAAATTAAGGACAAATATTTCTTAGTTGCACAACATTACCTAAAGAAATAAATAAGCAATTTTCTTATATTCCTTCTACAGGAAATTTACTTAATATGGCAACACAATACTATCAATTTCAAATCTAGCAACACTACTCAACAGAAAAGTCAATAATGTCAAACGCCGGGAAATTTCAAAAAAGCTTGAGTACGTACGTGGTACGTTTTCTTAATACATATAATTGTTGTAAATAGTAAATGCGAAAGTATGTGAGTTTGTGTGTACGTTTTTTTTACTTAATCACGTTAAAAGGAGATTGCGATGAAATTTAGAACACAGGTAGATTGTAGTCTGGAATAACACATATCTACCTAGACTACTTTATATACCACGGTAACGCGGGCGAAGCAGCTGGTAGAAGCTAGTATGTGTGTAACAAGTGAAACAAGTGAAACTATGAACTAAAAAATAAGTTTTAATCACTAGTTTAAAAAACGTTGCTCCACATTAGGATTTTCTCCTGTGTCGTGGGTGCGTTTACAATCATACAATATCACATACCTACACATGACACCTAGACCCGAAACAACTATTTGTGAATCACACAAAGCGTTGTTCTGTGCGGGAATTGAACCTGCTACACGCTGCGACGCAGCCTATAACGCCAATCGTGCAGTCTGTAGACTACAGACTGCACTGTGTGAATTGTATATAATACCACAATAGACATTAACTAAAATCGCGGGTTACTCACGTGAATATCAGCGTGTGCGGTCGCGTAAACGTCGCGCAGCTCACTAGCGCACGGTGCTCATGAGGAAGAACCCGTCTGTGGTTCGAAACTAGTAGAGCTTTTCTCAGTATAATCACGTGAGTAACCCGCGATTTTGGTAAATTTAGTTTGTCTCACGATTCGTTTTATAATAATAGACATAATACAATTAATTAGATAGGTAAGTTACCCGTATTAATTTGATGTGTGGGTTGGCTGGACTGGGTAGTTACGGTTTGATCATCTATATAAGATATCCACTGCTAGACATAGGCTTCCTCCAATGACTTCCATATTGGCCTGTTGGAATTTAAAGGTGGTAGGCATGTGTGTATGTACAAAGAACCAAATATAGCCTACCAATGTATCTCATACTTGACAGTTTTATATTGACAGCGCCTACCTAAGTATAGGTACGTAATAAGCACAAAACAGATCAGTAAAAGAATTCATACAGGTATGATTACCTACCGTTTAACATTAGAAATATTTTTTGGATAGTTAATTGAAGTATTGCATTCACTACAATGAGAAAATCGAAATGAATAAGAACAAAAAATGAAACGCGTCCAATTTTATCTTGTAACAAAACATGCTCCCCTAAAATGCGTGAGTTTCGGAACGCAATATAAACAGGGGGATGGGGTAGGCAGTACGCATGCGCCAAGTACGACACACTAACTAACCCCAATACGAGAAAGCGTATCCTCCATTTTATTTCCATTTATTTGATATTTCTAAACAGAAAAAATCATTTGTGATCGCGTGATATTTACAAGGCGTATTTCCAAAATAAGTGCGGATTTCCAAAGTGATTCCACGTTCGAAATTTCAATTCAAAAGACGATTCCATAAAGCGTGTGCTTACGTAATATTTTTTTCTTAAATCAAGATTGTGTAAGTGTTCGGAAGGCAAAGGTAAGTGTTTTTACTTCATTTATTTTTCATTAATTTAATAAAACATGTAAATACTTATTTTAAAATCGTTAAAACTTTATAATAACGAGATTTTACGACAATTTTTTGTATAATATAATAAAAATGACCTTTTCAAAATGAGCATTCGTATCTTTGAAATGATCAAGCATTCCTATTTTGATTTTTTGCTACTAAGTATCGCATAACGATTCTCTGACTAACAAATACGTCATAATACACGAAAAGAACTTTACTTTTATTATTTCTACGAGTGTTTTCCGATATTAAACGGTACATAATTACGTATATACCTTTTTATACGTAATGTAAGGCAATAAGACGTGCTAGGAGCATGTATTAGAATACCAAATGGGCTTTACAAGATTGAGTGCAAGACGTTATGGTATAATAGTAATTTGTATGAAGATTCTTGAAAGAATGGAAGATATTAGACTTGATATTGAGTTGGTTTTTAATATTAAATGTCTGCAGTCACGTGTAATGCGTAATAAGTTGATGTTCGTATGTGTTCTTGTCAATACTTTTTACGTGTTATTTGCTTTTACCTAGTAAACAGAAGGAATAAATTATAAAGAGAGAGGATATGAAATAGGCTGGATTCCCGTGTTGACCTGTTTAGGGTTTTATTCTACATGTTCATGTACATTGTTCACAATACATAGCTTTATATCGTTCTTTACTTTATCTACCTATATAAATAAAACGCATTTCCGTTTATTAGTCCCGCTAAAACTCGAGAACGACTGAATCGATTTGTCTAATTTTGGTCTTTATATTATTATAGTTCGTGGAAATCTGTGATTAAAAAAAATTCTAAGCGGAATGAAGTTTGCCGAGTCATCTAGTATCGTATACATATATAATTTTTCTGGTTTAATATCGTGTAGTCGAAAGCTTAGTAACAGATCACAAATATTTAACTACGAATCCTGGGTCGGTTTTGATAATAACACGGAGTCTGAATTAACATTCCATAGTCTCTGCCTACCCCCATGGGAGAAAGGCGTGATGTTATGAATGTATGTAGTCTATTGTACTCACCAAAAAAAAAAAAATCTAAAAATTTGGATACGCTGAAAACTAAACCTTACATCTGTAACTGAAGGTTGATACTTATACAACTGGAAAATCCCTCGTTGAAGAATCTTTATCTTTATAATGTAGGACATATTTCAATGACGTCACAGCATTATTGGATACAACTGTGACGTCACAGTTTAACGAACGTGAATACACAGCTATCCAATAGGTCGAGAGGTCATCGGTGACAGTCTAACGTTAGGTATCGAGTTCGACAATGAGGAAAACTATGTTATATAATTTTTCAGCTACTCCTACAGCTAATTTTAAAGAATTAATAGTTTTCTGATGGGAAAGTATTGCCGTGTCGTACGTGTGTGTCATGATGGCCCGGAGGTTTAGTACGCCCACTTCTCATGCATGAGGTGCGGGTTCAAAACCTACCAACGGCAAGTACCAATATGACTTTTTCCGAGTTATATGTACTTTCGAAAATTATTCAGACACCACTGACAAACGGTGAAGGAAAACATCGTGAGGAAACCTGGACTTATAATGTCTAATTATAAGTTTGAAATCGCCAACCCGCATTGAGCAAGCGTGGTGATTAATGCTCAAACCTTCTCCGTGTGAGAAGAGGTTTTCTTCAGCAGTGGGCATTCATAGGCTGTTGATGTATAATGGGATAGTATTGAAGTCTACAACATCAGACGTCGTTGATCGCATGTTGTAAGGAAAGGGTTTTCTAAATAGCGTAACCATGCCCATGTCCAGTCTGATGACTTGATAATAATGTTCGTTTATAAGCGAAAATACAGAAATTTATTAACATAACATCACACCTTTTATCCCCGAACGAGTTTTTTTTTTAAGGGGGGAAAATCATCGAATGACTGGTCCCACCTGGGTGAGGCGGGAGGGACTGTCAGACTCTTACTGACTAAAAACCACCCCGTACCTTCTCCTGCACGTCGAGCCGGAGCCCCGGTTACCCGTTAGGTTCTCCGCGACTATCCCCGAAGGAGTAGGCAGAGGTGCACATCACGGCAATGAATGCCACTGTACAATGTAACAAACACTTTTCACTATTTATATGTTATGAGTCCCATGTCAATTGCTATATACCGGACATAATTCCAGACTCCGTGCTACTACTGATTTTTTTTCTTTACAAAACCCATTAACACTTTGCCTGACAAGGGAATCGAACCCGAGACCTCTTGTCAGGCTGTTGTACTTGCGACAACTCAGACAACAAGGCAGATAAATTCATTAATCACTTCTTAAATTTCTGTTAAGTCATTACGCCACACTCTAGTTCAGGAACCATTCAACCACCTGAGAATCTGTCTGACCCGAGAATCAAATTCGATGTCTTACTGTAAGAAGTTGAATTAGAATTTTGTAAGTACCTATACGAGTGTCTTACACGAATCTTACACAACTTTCATACCCGACAAAGAAGTAAGAAGCTTAATAAAGTACCAACCAATAATACCATGTTTACCTTCAAGTCCCTTCGCAAAGAGAACCCAAAAGATATTTTGATAAAAGATGAAAAGAAATACAGCTAAAAGATCAACAAGGTGGGCTGTGTGTCGGGAAATAATATAAGAAGTAAACAAACGGTATTGAGGCTTATATTGTACATATACATATATATATATAAGGTGTATGTGTGTTTGTATATGCTTCTGTTCTTGATCCCTTCAAAGTAGAACAAGGAAATATGTTTTTTTAGCATTTACATATTTTTAAAGGCTACCTGGGCTTAACGATAATAGTTTGCTAGTTGTTTTCTCATTGTCTACATCTACTATATAAAAATAAGTCGGGTTTTCCTTCATCATCATCATCAACAGCCTATAAATGCTCACTGCTGAGCAAAGCCTCTTCTCACACAGAGAAGGTTAGAGCGTTAATCACCACGCTTGCTCAATGCGGGTTGGCGATTTCAAACTTATAATTAGAAATTATAAGTCCAGGTTTCCTCACGATGTTTTTCCTTCACCGTTTGTCAGTGGTGTCTAAATAATCTTAGAAAGTACATATAACTCGGAAAAAGTCACATTGGTACTTGCCATTGGTAGGTTTCGAACCCGCACCCTCATGCATGAGAAGTGGGCGTCTTAAACCTCCGGGCCACCACGACATTGGTTGGGTTTTCCTTCCTGACGCTATAACTCCCGAACGCACGAACCGATTTCCAGGGTTTTGCATTCGTTGGAAAGGTCTCGAGCTCCGTGAGGTATATAGAAAATTTTGGAAAAAAAATAATTCTGCATCTTTTAATCACCAAACGAAATGTTAAATAAAACGAAGCCATCTGGTGGCGAAACGGAGTTCACCGGGTTTGCTAGTATATCATATATTACGTGTCCACTCTGTGGAAGAACTCAAAAACATTTATAAACAAAGGTTTTAGTAGAATACCAGCGCAAGGCCCTGTCTTGCACATGCTGAACTGGTCCCATTTCACGGCAGACTAGTGACATGAACATGTATACATCAGAGTGCCAAGCACGAATAACTATCGCATTCGTAACGTAATAGTATCGAGCGAGTTAAGCGTTTTGATTGGTTGGTTCACTTGAGCCGGCCAATCAAAGCGCCCTGTTACGATACGAATGCGATAGTTATTCGTGCTTGGCCCTCAGTACCTACTAATAGAATAACACTTCTGTGTATGTCACTTGTTTCTTGGCGTGAAATAAAAAAAATCTTTTTTTTTTTAAAATTGCCCCACATTAGGATTTTCTCCTGTGTCGTGTGTGCGTTTACAAACATACAAGTTCACTTACACAATGACACCCAGACCCGAAACAACAATTTGTGGATCACACTAAGTGTTGTTCCGTGCGGGAATCGAACCCGCGACACGTTGCACGGCAGCCGGTTGCCCAGCCACCGCACCAACAGTGCAGTCATTTGCCAGCCACATGAGAGCCCATGATAGACACCAGTGGCAGTAGTCATGAAACGGTCGCCGCAGCCGAAACCGGCATGAATCTATTAAGTTGAGCTTACCTAAGTCTTAGTCATTACCCGAATCAGATTACATGATTATCTACCTAACTATACTTCTGGATAGTATGACTCAGTAAATTATTATGTTTTCGGCTTACTCAGGTAATAATTAGACGAGGAACTCGACTAGTTTCAAGCCATGCTAGAGGCTCATATTCATGAGCAGAATTTCGCTATGTTGCGAAAATTAGCATTAGCATGCTCATCGTCATTTGCGGATCGACAGGCGTCCGATTTTTAAACATTTTTGAGCACAGCCTTTTAGCATAATATTTTAGAGCATGTCTAAGAGGACTTTTAAAAAAAAGTTGTATAGAATTATTCAAATCCATAATTATACTGTCCAGTCTTCTTAGATATACTTTGAATTATTCCAAAGAGTAATCCAAATACAATACATATTTTTATCTCAACCATAAACCTATCTAAATAAGCAGGTATGTTAGCAATAAAAATTATGAATTTTATGACTGTTTCCAAAAACTACGAGTTGACATGTCCACTACCATTACAAAGCAATACAAATCAATATTAGTCCATAATGACAGACGAATGATAGGTCGAGTCCAACGTAATTATACACTACCAGTATCTAATAATGGACTTGCCCAACGAAATATACAATCAATCATGTATTAGACAAGTAGATAAGGTACGGTCATATATTCAAGTCATTGGTATAATTTAGTATATCTCCGGTATATGAACCCACGCCACAGAATACTACCTTTGCCTTCCCTTCAGCTATAGAGGATAGGCATAAACTAGCCATAGAGGTATTTTGACCGTTCCACGGATTCATTTTTTTCAAAACCCATCTTTTTCAATTTCAATTCAGACCCGTTTTCATTCCAAATCTCTTCAGGTCTAATGGGAAATATACAGTCAGTTTCGATCGAATAGATATACCGATCTATTAACATGAATTAGTA